TACGACTGTTGAACTAATCCACTGAGAAGAAAATAGTTCATGAGAATGTGCTAACATTGAAATATCGTAATTGGAACAATAATCTTCTATCGAAAAGCCAAGTGGAATCCATCAATTCCTGATAGAGTTGTGACCTAGCTCTCTGCTAGACTGGGAATTTTTTTTTTTTTTTTTTCCTTCCATTATTTGGATAACGTAAAGAAGAAACTCCATCTGTCATATAAAGCCTCTTACACCTTTCCATAAAATGGATGTATTTATTTTGCAATTCCTTCTACAGATTTTGCAGTGCCTCTCTGTTCAAGGTCTGACATCTTCCGGAGGCGGAAGCGCTGCTAGCATCGATGGAGGATACAGTAGCGGAGTATCAAGAGCAATCATCAAAGACAGGTGTGTTTGAGTTGTAATTTCCTGGAGAACATTCTGTGCTTGTTGAGCTGTATAATTTGAACTAAAATGTCGTTTGACTGAATTATTGCATTTCATTAACAGATTGAAGACATTTAATATTCAATTTGAAGAGCTTCATCAAAGACAATCTCAATGGACAGTTCCTGATACCGAGTTAAGAGAATCCCTGAGGCTTGCAGTTGCTGAAGTCTTGCTTCCTGCTTACAGATCTTTCATTAAACGCTTTGGGTATGTTTTTCTATTATCGGTATAAATATTTCATAACACTTCTACATGAATTCTGGTGTTATCACTTATCCGTATATTTATGGGAAACTTGTATCATTGATACATCATTCTATTGCCCGAGTTGCAAGTTGGTCTCAAACTTTTCATTATATTTTTACAATCAATCTACAGCGATAGATACCGTCCAATTTGTGTTAAATTGTCAATGTGTCCCATATTGAATCATAGGCACCAGCTCAAGTTGGGAAACTAAACTTAGCTTTATAAAATTGGGTACATAATGGCCGCACAACAACTTACAAAAGATTTGGACGGTTTTCATTATTGGGACCTACAATCATTCTGTCATTTGGAAGTTAATTACTAGGTTGAATTGAATCCTAAGGCGCTTTTAAGCTTGCAAATATAATGGAGACCAACTTGCTACTAGGCCAATAGGTTGGGAGCCAATGCTGTACTTCCCACAATATTTTTTCAAGTAAGTTACACTTGAAAGAATCCCAAATGAACCTATGGAGCCCATATCTTGCACATTAAAAATTTATATCATCAAAGGCTAAGAATAATGATTCTACATTGGACGCATTGTATTTCTAATTTGCAGCAAATTGAATAGTAAAGTCTCATTCTTACTGTTAACGACATCACCCTCATTGCACCATGACACGAGTTTATTCTGGTGACACGAACTTGGATTTTTGACATGTATCAGGCCTTTGGTTGAGAATGGTAAGACCCCACAGAAGTACATCAGATACAATCCAGAGGATCTTGAACATATGCTTGGTGAGTTTTTCGAGGGTAAGACCTTAAATGACCCCAAGCGATAGATTGATCTGTGTAATGAGGTTTACAGTCCTCAACTTTCTTTTATTAGACGAAAATGGGTTAACTGTCTTGTTCATGATGTATTTTTCCTTTTGCATCTTGAGGTGGTCTAGTTCTTCGACCGCATGTTATAATATATTGTAGAGAAGCTTTGTTACTCATAGATTGCTTTTACCATGTTTGGAATAAGGCACATTTTTGGGTGCTTATCTCGACGCATGCTGCCCAAATAAACCCAGTTTTTAAGCTATCCAAACACGCCTATAATTCCTTTATTCTGATATTTACATTCAAAAATAAAAATGGAATGATTATTTAACTTTTAATTTTCAAAGATTGTTGTCTGATAAATAAAAATTACGATAAACCAAATTTCAACACACCAAAACAAAAGGTTGTAATTTGCATAAATGGTTAGTACAATGGGGACTGATTTCAATTTAATACTCCAACTTTTAATTTATATAATAATGCAATACTAATTACCTTATATAATAAATAATTTGCCGACTTGTGTTATATTAATTAAGCACATATAAATTAAAATAAACTAATTAATATCTTACGAAACGAAATTAATTTGTTCTTTCATTTATGAGGGAAATCGTTGCAAAATGATGACACAATAAAACTTGAACAGTTTTGCTACAGTTCCAATTTCTTTGACATTTTTGTTGACAGTGCGTGATATGATACACATTTTTGCCATTGATTTTAATAATATTTAAAATAATCAATGATCTTGATTTTGATATCTCACATTGTCAAATTTACATTTCTAATGTACATATAGCTTAATTTGAACTCGAAATACGTGAATTATGAACTAAAAAAACATAAGAAGCCAGCTCGTGTTGAATTTGCATGAAACCCAGCTCTCTCTCTCTCTCTTCAATGCAGAGAAACGATGACCTACTTAGAAATCATTGAAAACAGCATGATTAACCATATCCAAGATCTCATAAAAAACATTCTCGTTAACTTTATTGACCAACTCATCACCTTAAATCGGGCATTATTCTTTTAGCAGTCCCACAAATATATTTCTCTCTCTCTCTCTCTCTCTGCGTCTGATGATTGAGGGATCCGAGGCTTTGATCATTGAAAGAGAGAGAAGAGATAGATTCTAATTATATGGTGATTAATAAGAGTTGGAGATCCGAGATCAGTTCCCTTACTTTCATGCAAAGATCACTTGGAATAGAAAGAACAAAGGTGGCGTGATCACCTTTAAAACACCCATTTTCACCTTTTTCTTTTTCTTAAAGAAACACTGCAAAAGTTCAGTGTGTGGAAACTTTGTCTCCATTCCAACACCCCCAACTTTTTTTGTAAACAACACACCTTCTCTCTCTCTCTCTCTCTCTCTCTCTCTCTCTAATCTCTGATTCCATGCAATAGAAAAAAAAGTTGTGTTGCCTTACAAAAGCAATATTATAGCTACATTTTCTGCCTCTTTGCTTTTCCCTTTTCTTCTTTCCCGTAAGGTTATATATTATTAAATTCCACTAGTAATGATTTACAGATTATCATGCTTTTCTTTTGAACGGCTACTCATCATAGTTTAATCACAAATGTTTAAATGTTCCAATTATCAAACCACTTTTCTCGAAGAAATTAGTGCCACAACTCACATAGAAATACCCTTCAAATTAATCTACCAGATGATTTTTTTTGTTTTTTAATTAAAAAGGGTTCAAAAGCAAGTATATTTTTTGGATTTCTATCTATTTTTCTAAATGCCAACCTCTATACCTCTACCTTGCTATTTTTCTTTTTACTTTTGGGCTATGTCCATGAGAAGAACTAGTGAAATTAATTTGTGGGTCATTTATTGCATTCAAATTCCCAGTCGACAAAATGTGTGTTGCATGAGATAAATGAGATTTTCTGAAAGTATTTCTACCTCAATGAAGCAACCAAAAGCAAATGTCTTCAGTCTTTTGAGATGGATATATCCCCTTTGACTACTTTTTGGCTGGAGCTTTTCAAAACTCACTTATTTTTCTTCCTTTTAAGACAAATTTTCACTCACTCAATTCAAAAATAAAATAAATATCTGCTATACCACTTCCAATTCTTCTCACGCCACATAAATAAATATTATTTCAATTCAAAATTAAAATAAATACCAACCATGGACCTTTTGCATGATAGTTAACTCCATCAGTAATTACTAGCGATTGTGTATTCACCGTTTTACTCAGTGGTGTTGCCACTTAATATTTTTGTAACTTTTTTAACACAGTGCAACTTTTTCTTCATTGATTTCATAATGGGAGCAAAGCTCGAGGTCATTGACATTTTGACAAAGACAAGCACTAGCAGTTTTCATGATCCAGAAAATTAACGTTGGAACTTGGAAATAGGATTGGATTTGGTTTTGAATCCAAATTTTAGAGGGCAAGAAGAAACTGAAAAGACTGATAGTAATTTTCTGTCTACTACTTTTAAAGACTCATCATGTTAAAAGTAAACCTAATTATTTGTATGTTTCTTTGAAGATTATAAAGTTATAAACTTTATTATGTTTGATAGTTAGTTTGGCACTTCCATGATGATACAACAATTCTGTCGTGGGTTTAATGTTTGATCCCTTCTTTCTTGGAAAAACCCTAGAAGAAAAAAAGGGAAATCAATCTGTCTGATTACAAAAAATAAGCAAATTAAATGAACATTGGGTTAGATACTCATTTAATTTTTGTTGTATTTGAGTCCATAAACTTCGACTCTTGCACTTGATTTCTAACCAGCATATTTTGAAGAATAGTTGCATTAAAATGTCACATATTGTATTGCAAGTGACATGAGACGTTTGAATAAAAAGACAATCATATCGAGGGATGAACGAAGCATTCAAATATTATAAAAGTTAAGTAGAAACACCATGGAATATATAGAATGGCAATTCATGTCCTCATTATGGACAGTAGTTAATTTTAGTACAATAGGTGAGGTGCAAATGAAGCATACAGGCCTCTACATGTTTGGTTGAGTTGAAAAGTAAGCCAAAATTACTTTTAACTAAAGTTTAGTTGTATGAGCCGGATTAAAATCTGATTTTAATTTAAGTCAAAATCCAACAATCAATATTAACCACATCTTTCATGGGTCCCACATCTTTTCAACCACACATTTCAAAAACTTCTATCACAATCCACTAAAAATCTAATTTTAATCCCCACCAAACACTATTTTAGAAGTAGTACGTTTTAAAGGAAGAGTCACTTTTAAAATAAGTAACTTATGTTTAACTTTGACAACGAAAACTTAGTTCATTACTTATAATAAATATTTTAAGCTTTGCAAAACAAGATTTGGACCTTGATTATGTTTTCAAGGGAGTATCATTCTCAGAAATCTTGTGGTCTTCAAGGAACTTATTATTGTCTAATTAATAAGAGTGGTGGTTCCCATGCATGTTTACGTTTCTTCAATTGATTCTAAAGTGAAAACTTCTTTAATCTTTATCGTTTAAAGATATTTAGATTCGTACTCTTATTTTTATGCTGATCTTTTAAGTTTTATACCTTGCAAAGATATGAATATTGATTATGGAATTACACTAAAATAATATTTAGACAAAACCACTCAACAAAAGAACAGGAATGTACATTTAATTTAATCCTAAATTCCGTGAAAATGTTTTAACTTTGAAAAATATGATATATATTGTATATTAACATGAGGCTCGACACGCGGCAAAACATGTTCTCATACGGATTTAACAAGGGGTTGAACTTGTCGATTCATGTCGATCTGGATAACTCAACGAACTAAGCGATGAGACAATCTGTCCTTGAATATGCTACCTTGAGTTAGTGAGTTCTTTCGACGTTGTGTAAAAGGCTGGCTCAACTCTATCAATGGTCAATAAAGTACATCTCTCCAAAATTTTATTCATTTTAATACTTATGAAGTACGTAAAATATGAGAAATATAGTGAAGTCGACCAACTTGCTACAATTGGAACAATAGATGCAAGTAATGTTTGGGGTAGATTATATAGCCTTCGACGGTTACCTCACAAGGAAAGGAGACATCACTAATAGCGACAAGCCTATTAAGGAGAGTGCTGACGATGATCATGCTAACAAGTGCACAAAGAGATACATGGAAACCCCACTTAATGTTTGTTGCACTCATTTTTCTTTCAAGTACAATGCCAATACCAAGTACAAACTATGCTTTCACATTTTATTTTGCCAAAATTCTAGCCATTTGATTTCTCGACCTAAAGCTCTACTTAACATAAGGAACAAAGTGTTTTTGGCCAATGCATCCCTAGTTCAAGTGGCTGAGTAGTTGACTTTTGGCTGATTAATTTGGAGAGATCATAATGGGGGCTCATTCTATTAACTTAGAAGTACTTTTTTAGATTTTGATATCAACACGACTTCATGAATTGTACCATGATCTCCTCCTTCGTTAATATAAAGAAACTAGGACACTTAACGACTTCCTCATTCATGAAATTTGTACAGAAAATCTTTGTCGCGACAAACTGCTCAGGTTTGATTTAGATAAAAATCAAAATTTTAGTAAATTTTCATAAAAAGATACAAGCTTTGCATAAAAGTGACAAGATTAATAATTCATCAATATACATTTTGTTTTACAAATCTGACTCCTGATATTGTCAAGAAACCCCGTTCTATAGTTAACAACTTTTGTAATCGCCCTCATGCCAATATGAAGTAAAACTAATAAACTACGAAGAAAATGCAAATTAAAAGACAAAAAATGAAAAGAAAATTCAAATCCACAGATCCCAACCCCCTTCTCCATTTACAGTACTTGTTTTTTGAAAACAATTTCTTTGTCCACCAAATCCAAAATTCCATGATAAAAAACTGAATCTTCATCTTCTGTTGCAATATTTAGATCCAACAAGGCACATTCCTGCTTCAAGTCCTCACCGTTTTCTTGATCTTTCTCTATTTTGTCACATTTTTGTTCAGCACGAGGAGAACAAGTTCTTGATTCTGAGCTGAAATTTTCAGAGTTGAAAATGATAATTGCATCATTAAGTGGAACAGAATCACCATCTGAAAGTGTAATACTTCCATTTTCAATTGCCCTTTCGATTCCTTTTCGGGAATGATAATCTAGTTGATCAACATCTTCCATGAAAAATACGCGGCTAGGATTATCTCGTACAGCATCTGCAAATCTATCAAAAAAACTTCCACCGTGTTCATCTCTTTTCCTCTTCTTGCTGACTTCTTCTGTTGGATCATCTCTTGCTGCTGATGAGAATTTGCTCAGACTAATCTCAACAAAGTTTTCTTGAGAACCAAATATTATCTTGGCAATTTCTTTTGCCAATTTCTCTTTGCCATCAGAATCAATGCCTGAAAACAACAGCCAAGTTTCTTCTCGATTTTCTTTGTGTTCGTGTTCTTTCTTGATTTTCGTCTTCATCAATCCTGATCGACATTTAAGAATCGTACTTGCGATATCAAAAATAATGTCTTTCTGCCATGGAACTTTCTTTTCCAATGCATTGCAAAGAATGTTCATTATTTCTGGATTGAACTCCTTGAACTTAAGCAAGAAGTCCATATGATCTCCAGTTGCTTCACTAGAGGAAGCTGAATTAGGACTTGAATTCGGATTTGATAAAAGGTCAGGTTTTATAACTGGTTTACAAGAAACTTCACCCTCATTTGTGTGTAGAATGAAATGGTGTTCTTCAGGTGATTGGTTTTGTTCAAAAGTTGTCGGCCGCCACTCTAGAAGGCTTGGATGCAGCTTAGAATTTTTCTTACTATTGGAAGATATTGACCCAGATGAAGAAGGTGATAATGATGAAAAATTGAACATTTTTTCAAGAAAATGTGGTTGCCTGTGGACGGACTTGCAGATTGAGTTCCATTTCTTGCTAAGATCTTTGATTTTATAATATTCCTGTACCATAAAACACATCATTAAAGAAACTATGATAAAATGTTCACCTGAACACTGTAAATTTAAGAAACTAAAGTTTGGAAAAGGGCATTTCAAATGTCAATAATTAACCTGATCAGCGTCGGTTTCTTTTCTGTTCTCATTCTTGTACTGTTGGAGCCATGAAGGCAAGCTTGAGCTAGAACAAGTGGTATTGGACTTCATGTTGTCATTCATTAGGCCTGTTGCTTCTCTTTTGAAGTTCACCATGCAATCTGAGCAGCAATTGAGGTGCTTCTGGACTCCAGCTTTCTGAAATAGCACGTTGGAACCATCGAGCGGCGACTTTCTTTTGAGTTGCAAATCACTGAAAGAAGAACACATCAAATGTAAAAATAAAAAAGTTTGCACGGATTGATAAACTTGATGCTAAGGATCAAACTGCGTGAAAAAAAAAAAAAAATCATCTAGACGACCCTAAACTTACTGTAAACAATTATATAATAAAACTTTAGTCAGTATCATAAAGTTTACCTCTCAAGATTAAGAGTGAGAGCCAAGGTGCCAACAGGCATTGTAAGAGGGTGAAGGTTCCAAAGAGTCTCTAAAGAAGGGCTGCCATTTTTGCATTTGTTGTAAGTCTGGAAAGTTGCAGTGCCCATAATCCACAATTTTTTATTCTCTCCATCTCCAGATACCAGTCTACTGATCTCCATTATCATGCATTCCACAGGACAGTAGTAGCCGATATTCCTTTGCTCTCCATATTTAGACCAATACTCAGAAACCCAATTAAGATCACCCAAATACAACACAATTCCTCTACTTACAGAACTTTTAACAAATGACCTAAGCTCTCCAAGTTTCTCTTCATATTCTTGTCTAGAGACATTTCTCAGAGTGAAAAGGGGAACACTTATGAATTGTACAAACCTCATATCTAAAGGTACATCTTTCTTGTCAAACTTATGGATTACTGCTTTTACTACTGCCTCAGCAATGGCCAAACGCTCCCCTACAATAACAGTGTTTTTCCTTTTCCTGTTCATCATTGCTTCCACAACACTCATGACATCATCATTTTGTACTTGAATATTAGTCATTTGGGGTTCAGTATTTCCAAGAACTAGAAGTTTGGAAGTGGTTTCTTTGGACTGATTAGTACCAATCTCTAAAGAAACAGCTTGTTCTACATTGGTTTTGACTTGGGAGCTGGAGAAACCAGCTTCCCTCATGACCCTACTAACACTTGGATCATCTAGAATGGAGATGACAAGCTGTTCTACCTCTACTTTGAGGGCTAATATGGGCTGCTGCTGCTGGGTTTCGACGGAGCCCCGACGCTGGTGGGCTTGTGCGCGCTTGAAGGCGGCCACCAGCGCGTTGGAGAGCACAGGGAGATGGGATTGAGGGCCGAGCAAAGGGCTAGAGGCAGATGTGGGAAGGCGATTAAGCGCTACGTTGAAACAAAGCTCGAGGGCTTTGCATTGAAGGGGATGAGAATGTGATTGAAGGCAAGCCCTTCGGAACAAACCGGCGGAAGAAGCAAGCATGGCACTCGCCACATGAAGAGGAGTAACCTGCGCATTGCCTCGCCTTCTAGCAAGTCCAACTGCCTGTTTCAAAATGCTTGCTGCGTCAGAAGTTAGAGACTGTTGGAAAGTGTATCCTCCAGTCCTCATCTTTGATTTCAATTTTTTGCAGTATTTAACGTAAGATTATATACTACTTTCTCGAGAAACTTATGAACAAAAATCTAAAAACAAATGGGTTTTAGGTTTCATCTGAGTAAGAAATCTGGTAAGGAACATTGGTTTGGTGCGATATTTGGTGTGATTTAAGAAGAGATATTTGAAGTGTGAAGTGAGTTTGTTCCTTTCTTGTTGTGTTAGTTTTGTATCTGAAAGTTTTCAAAAATTTGCATGAGAAAGTGGAATGCATGTGAGGCAAAGGCAAGCTGTCTCTCTAGCTTTCTTTCGTAAAAGGTAGAATTGATAAATTTGAAGTTGGACTGCTATTCTTTTCTGGAAAGTGAATATAATATAATATTTTATACACAAGTTTCAAGCCTCTAGCTTGAGAAAAGTTTGAAAATGTGGCCTTAGTTACGTGGATTATGCCTTTTTTTTAAAGATTAAAATCAGATTTTTAGTAAATTTTGATAAAAATTGATAAAATATATTGAAAAGTTGTGAGTTCCATAAAATATGTGATCAAAATTAATTGTTAATTTTAATTTTAATTTCTATCAAACAAGACCAAGTGCTTGTTTGGTATAAATTAAAATCGGATTAAAATTGAAAAACGAGCCGTTATTGTTGACTTTTATTAGACGAGTGAGACCCAATAACGACTATATTTTAAATTTCAATTGGATTAAAATCTCTCCCAAACAAGCTCCAACAAATAACGGACAGCCAAGTTGTCTTGCTCTCAAATCTATGGTACTTAGGATGATGGTAGTAACATTCGCGTGTAGATCAATATTGGATGGATTAGGCACAATAATTATTAATTAATAAGATACTAGTTCAATTTTTCTTGTTTATATTTAGTTCAATATTATTAAATCGTTCTTACTAAATCATATTTATACTAAGTATTGTGTAAGATTATGGAGGAGATATATGATAAATTTTGTCTTATTTCTTTCTTTAGTTCAGTGTAGCTATGTTTAATTTAACGTAACAAATATATCTTTGAGCACTTCAATTTATTACTAGGAAAAGAGTTCTAAAATTTACCGATTATGTTATTTGATTCAACACGTGTTTAAATTATAAACATTTTTTTGTCGAAGTTTCTTTCTATCAACACATTTTTATAAGATTTACAAGTACTAATCACATATCAAACACTCATTAGTAGTAAGCACGTGCTTTGCACGTCTTGTGTGTGTGTGTGTAATGTGTATAATGTGAAAATGTTGAATAAACTAAAATATAATGTTTTGATTACAATAACACCTCTTAGTACACAATATTTTTTCTCCACTTCCCACAATTTTTTTCCTTTTCATTTGTAGTTCGCATAATCTAAAACATAAGTAGACCAAATAAAAATATTCACATATACAAATTTTTGGAACACATAATATTTTAAGTAAAGACACAAAAAAATGCACCAAAGTGGAGAATATAGATCCACCCTGAACGGAGAATCAAACTGTATATAAAAAAACAAAAAACAAAATGAGAATATAGACCCATCCTGAACGGAGAATCGAACTGTAGAAAAGAACAAAAAACAAAATTCATTGAAAAAAAAACCATTTAATAGATGCAAGCACCAATTCTTACATAACTGAAAAAACTATTGTGGAAAAAGTTTTGACCGATATGGACATAAATAAAAAATGTGGAGAACGGTAATAATTTTGAGGCATAGTAATTAAAAATTTCATATACAAAAAGAAAAATGAATTTTCTTCGACGAGTAAATAAGAAGAAAATAATATAAACTTAAATGATATGTAATTTGCTCAATGAGAATTTAGAATCATTTTTAGATTTTACATAAAAGATAGAAAAATAGTACGAAATGAAATTACAAAATAAAAAATCACACCTTGCAGATGATGAACTAAAAATGCATTATATATCATAAGTAACTGGATTATCATATGTTTTTATGCTTATACAAAGATGAACATGCAAAAATATAAAATACCTAATATTATATTAATATTTTTTAGGAACACATAATATTGATTTTTATTAGTACCTAAAAAATTGATTTTAGGGGGATGATGGAGTATCGATAATGTGTCAATCCATTAATTCTCACATTTTTTCTTTCTTTCTCTCACTCTCTCCTCTCCCCCTATCTTTCGAATTTTGAACTACTCAATCACATTATTCCACGTAAATTGTCACACCACCGATATTCTAGCATCATAATGATAGATAATATTATTTTTTCTATTTAGTGGGGTGGCTATATGTGAATGGTAAGTAACTTCTAATTATTAGGAGCAATTTGTAAGATATTTAGGATTAATGGCTAATGTTTTCCCTCTTCGACTCTTCCCCTTCTAAGTGTTGATCACCTTTAAGCAATGATTTTCTTTTCAATTTATTGTCCTTTGTATTTCAATAATTATTTTATCAAATATATTAATTAAACATGAAATTTATAATATTTGAATGAAAACGAAGACAATGGTATATAAGGACAAAATGGTAAATTGAATATGCATATTTTATATATATTCTATTTAATATAATTATAGAAGTAGACGAGTGTCGATTTTAAGCGAAGTTCACATATATATAAATAATAATATAATATATACACATATGAAATAATATTATAATGATAAATTGATAATATACTAAATGTGGCATTGATGGTATATTAATTACAACTTGACTTTATGTGAGGTCTTTGAAAACATATAATTCATTTTCCATATTGGAGTACTCAGAATTTGACATTAATCAAATTAAGTTTAATCATTTAAAATCGAAGCTCGTCTACATATATAATTATATTAAAGCTATATATTATATTATATTGTAATTTATCTACCATTATATTAATGCAACCTTTAATAAATTATATTTTATAATTTTAATAAAACTCGATTTTAAGAAATTAAACTTAGAAAATAATGTAATTTAAGCAATTAAACTTAGTTTGATTAATGTAAAATTTTAAGTAGTCCAATATAAAATAATGAACTTTACACTTAAATGGATAGTAAATCTAGTTAAATATATTAAATGGTAATTAATCTACTATTATATTAATGCAAACATGTATATGTGTGTATATTATATAAATCGAGCTTCAATTTTAAGTAAATAAACTTAAATTTGGTTAATATAATTTTTAAGTTCTCTAATGTAAACAATGAAATTTATATTTAAAAGGAGATAAAATGAAGTAGTCTTTTTTAATTTTTTGGAGTTATAACATAATTTGTAATTAGTAATGATTATGGTACATTTATAAAGGATGAACCGCATCGTTAGCGACCCCCAACTGCCCTACCCTGAGTCTTAGTGAAGGAAGTAAATCGCAGGTTATGTCTCCAAAGATATAGGGTGGAAGACTACTTGTACACTTGCACTTACCCAATGGCCAAATCTATATTTCAGGATTCGAACCCTTGACGCGCAGCTTTAAGCAAAGTTGAAGTTTTTCCACCTTCCCCTTTTACCATTTGGAGATGTGCCCTGTGGGCAATTATGGTACATTTATAATTGAAGGCGATGTTGTCAAAAGCAAAATATATAAGGGCAAAACTAAAGTTTTCCATACCCAAGTTTCAATTCTTGATATTGTTGTTTTCATACTACATACATAATGTTAACATTTAAAACATCTCTATTCTATCTAATAGGCATAAATTTCAGAATATGTTTACAAATGAAGGTAAATAATGTAATCAATAATGTTATTAATCAATTTATGTTGACAATTAATTAGAATTTCAACCGTAGTTATTCAAATAATTAATTACTTATTATTCAATTGTGATGAACAAAAACTATATCATTAACTATTTCTTTATGGGTAATGAATGTGATTTTTATTTATTTATTTACTTGTTATTTTTATTATTGTTTTTGTGTGTTGTGATCCTTTGGTTTCTTTGAAAATTGTCAATTTTCCCTTATGGTTATATGATTTTCATTTTCTCAATGTTCAGTTGTTTCTTATTTCAATGAAGGTAAATCAAGAATACATGTTCAATAATGAATAAAAAACATTATTACATATTATATTTTTTTGATAAAAAAATATATTTATACAGAAATAATCATATTATTTAACATTGTATTATAAACTATCAAGAATTATATATAAATTATATTTCATTTGAAGATCAATTGGTTGAAAGATGAGAACATTGTTTAATATTATAAGTTGTCAAATTGACTTAATGCATGAAAAATTAGGAGGAAATAAGGACATGATTGACAAAAATAAAATAAAATTGAGGACTAATTGTAAATCAAATAAGGGTATATTGGACATATAACTAAATATGTAAGGGTAAAATACGTATTCAAACGTTTCTTCTCAATTCTTACTTTTTATATATTGTAGATGTAAATAAGTCCCCGCTTATTCCACCATTAATTTATAATACATTTTTCTCTCTCTTTTTAATCACACATTCTTCAATAAAACAATTTTACACATAAATCAATTTATTTTTTCTTTTTTAATTACACATTCTCGACAACAATACTACTTCTCTCATTATAAATTGAAGTAGTGGTGCCCAAACAGGGGCTAATTTACACCGATTATAATTCATTCTCAACCATGCTTTGAGCTTAAAGCGGTTATATCTCAATTAATACTTTGGTAAAAACTAAAAAGAAAGATAAAGATAAAGAGTTGGAAAAGAAGAGAAGAGAAACAACCGGAAAGAAAGTGGATCTGTTTGAAGGAAATGGAACCGCCTGTATCATTATAAAGCCAGCTTGTGATTTAAAAAAACATTCAAAAGAAGAGCAAGGAATAAAGCCTTCTTGGATTGATTTATTGAACGATTGATGGAATAAAGGATCAAAAGATCAATTCTTTCTTTGCATGAAATCCATGCACTATTGAGATTTTCTTATTTTGAAAAAAATCATGTAATATCATTCAAGATTTTTATTGTGTATTTGCGTTCCTTCAAATGCTTTAATATTACCTAAATCAAAAGGGAGGCTTTATGTTG